TACTGAATAATGTTAACAGTACCATGTGCAAAAAACCCTGTAACAGAGGAAGGGTAGAAACCTGAAGGAGGGAGGAGAAAGGGAAAGGTGTAACACTTGACCTAAGTAACCACATTTAAATACTTATTGTTTCCAAAATAATAAAGAAAAAAACAAAACAAAACAAAACAAGCACATGCTGATTGCTCAACTGTTGCGTAAGATGTAAGCTGTTAAATCAAGACAGAATATCTGTAACATCTCCACTGTTAGCTGCATATTTTTACCTTTTCTTGGTCTATAAGATACTTGGAAAGTGAGCAGGCATGTTAATTTCTACATTCCCTTATACTATCTGTATAGATATCTTCAAACAATTCAATGATTAATCTACAATCTTATTCCTGGAGTCACATCAGGATTTATTATTTTTTATTAATAAATAGGATTTTTTTTTAATAATTAAAAAAAAAACCAAAAAACCAAGAACAACCAACAAACGGCAGCTTTACAAATTAGGAGCTTTCCTCTGCCACTCACATTACGTGGGTAAAAGTCTGCACCTCTCATGTCAGTCTACTGGCAGAAGCCTGCCTGGCTTGGCTGCCTTACTGGATGGTTCCTGCCCAAACAAAGCTTTATCTAGAGTACCTTTCCTTTTAAGAAAACTTGGATTCAGTCTCATTTACATAGTTCAGGTGACAAATAGAAGATAAACTATTCTTAGAATAACTAGCTGTAGGCCAGCAAATAACTCAGCTAGACTGAGGCCTACAAGTAGATTCTTTGGGAGTCAGGCAAAAAAAACACCAATAAACTTTTATATATGATGCACATAACAATGATCTACAGAGCTGAGGGGTGTAGGAAACCAGCTTATAACACAAGAGAGAGGAAAGTTTGTCTTGCCTCTCACAGTGAATGGTTTGCAGGATTGATCTGCTGAGAGGTTCCTGTATAAGGCCCTGGAAGATGGGGGTTACTACTTTGAATTCAGCAGTTGTTGCTTGTTTAGTTTTTTGTTTTTTGGGTTGTTGTTTTTTGTTTTTTTTTTTCCCACTTAGGGGAAATAAAGCAAAGGCCTCTGAGAAAAGAAATTCAGAAAATTTGAGTTTAAAGAACATTCCCTTGAATGCAAATTAGAGTGCTGGTTAGCAAGTATGCATACTCATAAGCTCAGGGCTTATGACTCTGGCTTTCTTTTTCTGTTTATGCATGAGAAAAAAACAGAAGATTAAATTTAAAGGTAGATATAAGAAACAGTGATAAAATGTAGGAGAAAGAATCTCTGAACTAAAACTTAAACTAAAACTTAGACATTTGTCAGCTCTCAGATTAGTTATGCTGCGGAGGGAAAGCACTATACAGATGGATCCTATTAATTCATTTGGAAACAGGACTAGAAATTGTTTCCTTCACTGAAATATACATGAGAAAACCTAAGAGGACCTCGGGTCTGCTATAAATGGTATTGGAACATTTCAGAAGTTTATGTTCCATGACACCCAGAACACCCAGAGCACCCACAAGAGAGCTCTTGCTTCCTGCAGTGCAGTTATTTATCACTTCTATCTGACTGATGGTAGGCAAAATGAAACTTTTTTTTTTTCCAAGTAGTATCTCACTAATGGTTACTGAATCTTCTTCACTTTCAACTACCTACTTTCACTTCTTCAACTTAAGTTAACAATGAAATTATCTACCAGAATCACTAAAAGACTTAACTTGCCACATCAAAAGAGAGTAAGATCAAAGTTTACAAACAACCCAGCTACAAACTCACAGTTCTCTGGTGTGACTTGAATGCCAGAGACATCTTGGGAAAGTGTGAAGGAGAAAAGGAGCTCTGACACAGTACCAGGAGGTTTTACAACGTTCAGCAAGCATGCTGTGCCATCATGCTATGTCCCTATGTCTATAGTGGGAAACAGCTACAATTTTGATATCTGTTCTACCCATGTTGCTTTTGCTCTTCTCCAACACTCTTGCAGGGTACAAGAGGAAGAAAGAAGGGGATCCATGGATCCTCTATACAAGATTCATAGGGAATGCTCCTCATTGGGAACCTGGAGCGCTGAGGCCCACAGGGGCTCTTTCAGACAAGTGCTGTTGATCAGGAGCCCCGGTATGCCAGCACAGCCCAGCCTGCTGGCCAGACAGCCAGCACGTACTCTGGCACGCTGCCTGCCCACGTGCTGTTCTGTATCCCTTCCAGCATGCTCACAGAGAATGGCTACAGTTGAGCTCTGTGTTTTCAGCAAAAGATGCTAGTGACTTGTAGTCAAAACAAAACCAAACTAAGGAAAAATAGTATTCAGAACTCAACCTAGTACACATATAATGTGAATAAACAATCCAAGAAAAAGATCCAGGGCTCTGCTTTCCCATCTGCAAAGCTTAATAACTCAAGCACCTGTTTTTGTAAAACTTAATCGCTCAATCACCTGTATCGCCAGCTTCTTATCATGCTGCCATAAAGGAGAAATTTCCTTTTAAACACCCTGTTTGGATGATTGACATATCATAGCTACAAAAAGTAATGGCCACACTATGAAATTTCCAAAGGGATTTTTTCCCCAAACACAGAAGACACCCGCGAGCAGAGGGTGCAAAATTTGCAGGGATGCTTGGCAGCACAGGGAACAGCTTTCAGGCTGCTGCTTCACTCACTTTTGCTTAACTGACTCCTACAGTATGTGGCTGAGCCAACTGTTTTTGCCCTGTAGATACTGCATTTCTGTGGCTCATGCTAAAACATTTTTCCTGTGACTTCTTTTAACTCCAAACACATTCCCTGCTCCATGATGCACTGCTGCCAACTCTTATTGCTTGACCACTGTGCCTGCCACGCTTGGTCTTTTTAAACTTCCAGCATCAGCAGTCATCATCATATTTAAGCAGGAAGCTCATTTTCGAGACCTGTTTGAACCAGAAAGCAAGTAAGAGCTACCACCATTTCATAAAGGATTTTTAAAATAACCTGATAACTTTCAGGGGCTGAGCTGCATTTTTTGGAACGCTTTGATTTGGCATGGTTTGCAGCATGCTGTGCTCCTAAACAGCAGGAATTATTCCTGTCTTCAGGTCTTACAGACATGGAAAGTACAAAGAACTTCCTGTAAGATTTACACATAAAAGTTTGTGACTCTAAAAAGACTAACATCAATCTCTACAAAAACCACCTTGAATTCATTGCTCGTGACAGTCCAGCTAGTATTCACTCCACCTATCTCAGTTCTTCTGACAGAGATGTGATCAGTGATCTGGACAAGCAGCATGTGTTACGGTCTGAACAGAGGATGCTGCCACGTAAACCCATAGTCCTGCCACAGCTCTGATCTTGATGCTCTTCGAGCATCAAGATAATGCTAATACAAACCATCAAATCAGCAGCTTATTTCTCCCCCTGCCAGTGGGTGTAGGTGTAGTTGCCATAAAAGTGTAGTTGCACTGAAGACTACACCACCAGGTGAGAGGCATCTGTGAGGTGCATCTGCAGGCTCTACTCTTCAACAGATTCACTCACCTTCTTGATTAATTTGTGATAAAGTGATAGCTAAATACACCTTTGCACTGAGCCTACTCTTGTACAGCAATCATTTCAAATTCCTTTAAGTTCAGCACAATACAGAGAGAGAGCTGAATAAAATAACATGTTTGAAATAGATATTGTACCTTCCCCTTTTCATTACAGTTCTACATTCTGCAGCATCAGCTAGATGGGATTTCAATACTTAGAACTGTGTATCTCTAAAAATATGTCCCTTAGGAAAGCTTTCAAGACCTGACAGGTTCAGAAGGCTGTATTCAGGGATGCATAAAATAGCAAATGATCTGATCTAACCCCCAAATCATTTTTAAGGAGCTTTCCATGGCTTTTGCAAATCTTTTTTCCTGACCCAGTACACATCTGGATCTAGTTGGCATAAAAAGATATACATATTTAAATGTCATGAAAAAAAGATAATTATGTATTTTGGGCTTGTTGGGATACAGGAAGTACTAGGAATCTCATAAGAAGTGCAGTTCTCCTTGGAAATCCAGCCACTTTTTACACAGTCAAGTGATTTACATAGCTCAGAGAAAAATTCAAATTATTGTGTTAGATGAACTGACCCTCACATCCTCCAGAGGCTCATTCATCACTAGGTAAAGGTTACAAGGTAACATTGGAAAGACTGGTCTGTCTAACAGCCAGCCATGAAGTTCTTGGTCTTTTGTATCCTTGCTCTTTCCTGTAGAAAATCCAATAGATGGAGCAGTATTTAAAAACACTCACTTTTTCTTTCTTTTTTCTTTTTTTTAAACAGTGAAAAGAAGTAGCCCAGTATTCAACATACTACACAAAGAGCTTAAATGCAGTCCAAACTCTTGTGATTCCACTTGAGTCTTTAACTTTTCCTTATTCAGCCAAACTCTGTCACCAAAGAGAATCTGAATGAAGGTAACAAAATTAATGTGGACCTTGAGATTTGGGGCACAGTGAATATTTAATAGGATTTACTGCATTTTATCTATAGAAAATCACATAGGCATAAAGTACATTTTCCATAAATGAGTTTAATTTGTAGTAGTAATGTATTCCCTTGAATATTTCTGATATTTTCAAAATGACACACAGTTTTCAAGTAGCTTAAACACTTGAACATTTAAGCTCTGAGCCACTTCTGCAATGGTATTGCAAGGTGATGCACAAGCATTTTATGTCTTCTTTCACAAAAGGAAAACCTGGAACCAAAGCCTGCCCACATCTACAACAAAAGGTTCACAGTGAATTCAGAAACATCTCTGCATGTATTTTCATGCTCATACCATGCTTCTATTTGTTACCTTCCTATATCCACAGTAAAATGCATGCCTACCGGTGATGAAATACCTGTGTTTTGCAAGTCTATCTTCTTGGTAGGTTCTGCTGGTATCCTTGTTGCAGAATAGAGCTTACAGCATGTATTGGTGCTGATGGAAGAACATGTTAGCATTTAAAGTAGATGGGAAAAAAATTGATGAATGTGTCCATTTACCTTTTTGATCTTCTTTTTTTCCTTCCGGTCCACACGGTTTCTCTGATAAAGTGCTATTATCTCCACTGGCTTTTACTGCATTTTCTTCCTGTATGGTTTCTTCACCAATAGCTATGGTGTGTCCGTTTGAAGTTTCAAAATTTACTGTTACATCACCGTCTGAAATAAAAATTAAAAAGCTGATGTCCAAATTAACTGCTTGCTTAGCATTTATTGACAATACACATCAACTCTCTGCTTTCAAGTTACCAAGGAAGCAAAGCAGAAGGATTTTCTGGAGTGTATAATAGGCTCTGAAAAGTAACTCTCTAAATGATCTCCATAGGCTGCCAGGTCTTTGAGTGGATATCTTCGCAGTAGTGGGCCTACATTCCAGCTCCAGCTTCAAGGCTCCATCTCTGTACATGTTAGCATCCCATACTCTTCCTGCCCACATCCTTTATAAGGAAGTTTTTCACCCAGAGGATGATGATGCACTGGAACAGGTTGCCTAAGGAGGTTGCAGATGCCCCATCCCTGGAGACATTCAAGGCCAGGCTGGATGTGGCTCTGGGCAGCCTGGTCTAGTAGCTGGTGACCCTGCACATAGCAGTGGAGTTGAAACTAGATGATCATTATGGTTCTTTTCAACCTAGGCTGTTCTATGATTCTATGATCTTGGTCTACATAGCTTAAAGACATTCACGTGGAACACAATGTATCTATAGTGTGTTTCCAAAGGGCTCAGACCTGGGCACGCATAGAGTTGCAGAACAACTGTGTTGTATCCCAGTGGTATATCAGTCAGAAATCAGGCAGAAATTTTCAGAATATATGCGATCAATTCCCAAATGTGAATTTACTATTAATGATAAGGAGTCATTATCCAACCTTAAGAATTAAGGGTAATACAATTTGCAAGTCCAATTCTCTCCCAGCTCTTATGACTATTAGTGACCCACGTGAACTATCTCAGCTATGTTTTCTTTTTCCTCCAGAAAAAAAAAGAAAAAAAGAATTCTTTCTCTTCTTTGTTTGTATCTATGTCCCTGAAAAATGCTGTGTACTTTTGCTGGCTCACAACTTTCTCTGTTGACTGGTGTCTGTTCTCTATTCTATGCATTTTTAAATCACTGCTGATTTTCTTCTCTGGTTATGTCCAAGACTTGCTATCTGTAGGTTGCTCACACTAGACTTCCAGTTCTCAGAGTTGATTGCCCTCCTTCTACACTATGCTCTTATCAGCCAAAATTTGTGCAACTTTACCTGTAATGTCTTCTGGTTCCTCCTGTTGCTTCTTCACTAATTGTGGTAATTTCATTCTCTTCTCCTTGTTGGGTGCTGTGAGATCTGGATGTTTGGCAGTTCCCTCGTTTCACTACAATTATGCAGCCTCTCTTACTTCCTTAGGCTATTCTGTGGATTAAGCTGATGGTTTCATTCTAACCACACAGCTAACTCTCTTGATGTGTAAAAATGATGTGTAAAACCTAAGTTCTGCCTTCTTAACCTTGTCTCATTTACTATAGCTGATATTTGCACAAGGTTTTCTTCTTATTTGACTGCAGCATTCAACTTCCTCAGCCTTTTCCTTCCAGATGTTCTTAAATCCACTTCCCTTTCTGCCTCCACATGTAAGATCCCCACCTTACTCATATTCTGCTAACATCTCATCTATACCCTTGCCACTTCCCACCTCTTTCTTCTCCATCCCTTGTGAAACACCATCACTTCTTTGCATTTCTTACCTCTCACATTTCAATACTCCATAACATTTCTTCATCTAGCTTTCAGCTCTGTAGACATTCCTTCTAACTAGCTTCACACCACCCAACCACTGTCTTCCCTATATCTATTTTCAGTCCATTCAAAACAATCCTGTTTCTTCCAAACTGCTCCTTAAAGATTTTAATTTTCATCAGACAAGAAACACAGTGTGATGAAGGCAACACAGACTGGATTGATGGCCTTCTTAAGAGGTGAAAAAGGGGAATTTTTTTTTTTTACCATTCCATCCTTTTACCCCTTTTAAGAGTGGAATAGCAGGTCAAGGACACCAATGACCAAAGCAAACATATGAATGATACTCCTTATGTTAAAACTGTTTTTGACTTACCTGAAACATTAACAGCTTACATTAACTGAGCTAACAGACTAAATGCATTTTGCAACCATCAATCAACAAAGTCACACACGCTGCCCGAAAAAGCACGTAGCAAAAATCCTCAAAATTACATACAGGCAAATTGAGGTTTGGAAATTTTACATTTCTTGTGTTAAGTCACAGATAGTGGCAGAAAACAAGTTAAGAAGCCAGCTATGCTGCCTGTCACATTTTAGTAATTGGACAAGACTGTAAAGACAAGTGATGTTACATGCTAATGAACAAGCCCTCTACTTCCAAGGATCAATGTTGCAATTCTTCAGCTCAGGCAGGGCAGTACAATTTCTAGGATAGATCTGTTTTTAAAAATCATGGAGTTCTCAGACTTCTTGATAAAGTAATGAATGGTTTAATTTTAAGCTACTGAAAATTATTTTAATCACTTGATTTTTATCCCATCTAGATTTAATAGATACTTAATAATATTCAAAAGAATACTACTAGAAACATTTCAGAAACGAGGTAGGGCAGATGTGTTAAGCATGGTCTATTAACTCTATTTATAACCACTCTTATTAACTCTAAATTGTTTTTAAATAAGGAGTGTTTTCCCCACAGACTTTTTTATTTGTTCTGTTCGTGAATGTGGCCTGCATGGTAGTGGTGAGATCTGTATGATCCCAGCACTGGTACTTTTTGATACTGAAATAGCAGCCATCCATGTTTACAGGAAGCATAAAGATATTTGAAGATATGGCCAGAAGTAAGGCGGCGTTTCTTGGCAGAAGCAGCTACAGAATGCATATTTTTTTACTCCAACTCTGTTTCATTCAATTGGCTCAAATTACTTTTCACATTCCTCTGCTTTATCTCCTTATAACTAGTTATACTACACAGAAGCAATGCAATAGGGATTCTACCATCCACGTTTAGCACTTAGGATCTAAATTCTAGGTAATGCGTTATCACCTTGCTCAGGCATTTCCTTCAGCACTCCCCTTCTTATCAGCTCCTCTCTGCTTTGTCTTGTCGAAATCTTCCTTTCCAACACTAAAGAAAAAGCACAGTTAAGAACAGATTTATTCTCATACTGACAACGCTTGTGAGAAATGTAGAAAAGAATTAAGAACCCCTGATAAGTCTTCTTTCCCTCAGCTCTACAGAAGTGTTCTGGGTTTCCAGGGACATTCTCCCACAGCTTCAGCCACAAAAGATGGGACTCATCTGATCCAATGTCTTCAGCTGAGTTAGGCTCAATGGGGCTTCCTTCACAGTCAGTGGGAATATGTACTTCCACAGTGAAACTAAACTCATCCAAGCACTGACATTTAATATTTAAAAGCACCTCTTTATCAATGATTGGAGTGACTATGTCAGCTCAAGATACCTTCACCTACTCTTACAGATGTTTTGAGAGACAAATCCTGCTCAGAGCAAGCAATATTTTTGGTCAAGTCATAAAACTGCTCAAGGAGTAAACTTTGCACAACTATTTTAAGTAAAAAAATAAAAGTAAATCTTAAAAAAAAAGTTAGAAAGTTCTGTTCTAAAAAAGAACAACATCCTCATCCAGGCTGGTTGGCTGTCATGGAAAAAAATGAAGCATCCTGTTTTTAGGTTAAAAAAAAAAATGCATACAACACACACAAAAATGACTGTGACATCAAACATTTTAATTATTATGTTTATTTCCCATGGGAAAAATGTAAAACAGTTTTATAGGGAAAAGTATTTACAGATGGCAAAATAGAGTAATTCCCCACTCCACCCTAACCCTACGCCAATTCAGTTTTGGTTGGTGATCTGGGAAGCCACCGAAATGTTTTATAGAACTTCGGTGCACGGTTCAGAAAATGTGAACATTACTACTGTAAAACCCCCTCTTCACTGCATTGCTAGCAGAAGTTAATCACCTGTCCCAATTCTGTTTACATATGAGCATCAAAATCCAAGCAATGTTTGGGGTTCAAGCTGAGGTCATGCAGAAAAGCTTCAGCAGCGCTGGACTTCATCCTATTAATGATGTGGTGATTTTAACGATAAGGTGATTTATCTCATCAACTAATTCAAACACTCTAGTAATCCAATTACTCTCTAGTGCAAGTCTAACTGCTCTATGCAGATTAAATACTGCACAAAGTATTTTCAATCTCACTTGAGCTGGAATGGTTTGAGAGAAGTCACGTAGTGAAGTGAGTGCTACAGTGAGGACAGAGAAAGTCCTCACATGTTTCAGGAATTTACTCTCTGTGACAGCACAGAATCACAGAATGAATCACAGAATGGCCAGGGTTGGAAGGGACCTCAAGGATCATGAATCTCCAACCCCCTGCCACATGCAGGGCCACCAACCTCCCCATTTAATGCTAGACCAGGCTGCCCAGGGCCCCATCCAACCTGGCCTTGAACACTTCCAGGGATGGGGCATTCACAACCTCTCTGGGCAGCCTGTTCCAGCACCTCACCACTCTCTCTGTAAAGAACTGACATCCAACCTAAATCTTCCCTCCCTCAACTTAAAACCATTTCCCCTTCTCCTGCTGTTATCTATATTTCCAAAGAGTTGACTCCCTTTAGGTACTGAAAGGCTGCAATGAGGTCACCTCACAGCCTTCTTTTCTCCAGGCTGAACAAGCTCAGCCCCCTCAGCCTGTCTTCGTAGGGGAGGTGCTCCAGCCCTCTGATCATCTTTGTGGCCCTCCTCTGGACCCTCTCCTCCAACCGCTCCCTGTCTTTCCTGTACTGGGGGCTCCAGACCTGGACACAGTACTGCAGATGGGGCCTCACAAGAGCAGAGTAGAGAGGGACAATCACCTCCCTGCTGGCCACCCATCTTCTGATTGAGCCCAGGATACCGTATTTTTCTGAGCAAACATTCTGCTCAGAACTGCATTCCGACAAACATATTGCTCTTGCTGCAATTGGTTGAACAAGAATGGAGGCACCAGAGAGGCAGGAGCATAGCATTGCCAGCTTCATTTGGCTTAAATTATGCTGGAAATTGATCCTAACCCTGTTAAGCAGCTGCTTGCCAGGGCAGAAGGGCACAGCTGGGAGCAGGGGTGAGCATGGCTGCCTGAATGCAGATCAGCTGAGACTGCCTTCCCAAGTTCCATTCTTAAAAATTTATTTCAATTTTTCACCATTACTTGTTAAAGTATATGCCTTCCAACTGCATGCCATGCAAGTTATTTACACAGTAAGCAAAGCACAGGGATGTGCCATATTCTAGCAAGTTTTTCTTCATGTAGGTGAACACTTACTCCCTCAAAGACCTCTGGAGAAAAGAACATGGACAATGAAGCCAGAGGACTATGCAGGCAGCACTAACCAAGGGCTGTAATCTTCCCAGGAAGTAAGTATATTTATTAGCAGAGTGAAATCTCCTGTGATATGAAGCCCACAGATGAACTCTTTGTGCACATATTTTATACCTGTTTTAGAATCATAGAATCATCAAGGTTGGAAAAGGCCACATAGATCATCTAATCCAACTGGCAACCCATCACCACCTATGCCCAATAACCATGTCCCTCAGTACCACATCTATCCTTTTGTTGCTGGCAATATAAATACTCGCCTGTATTTCAGTTTTGGAAGTATAATTTACTTCCCACCTTTTTTTCCCCCTCTGATTTTCTGCACCTTTTTTACTGGAGACAGTGAAATCGGACGCTCTCTTATATATTTCTTTGTGAAATTTAATCTAATACTACTTGAAAATACATTCTTTTCATCAAATTCAGTAGTTCTGAATCTGACCAGCTCTGAAGTTTTCAAGATGATGTATTTTTTCAGTTCTGCAGCACTATATCACACTTAATGAAGAGTCATGGGAAACACCACTTGGCATTAAAAGACATTGACACCTTACACTTGAAGACCTCAAAAAACTGTATTGACATTATTACACAGATTTTGTGACGTCCTTTAGATTATCTCCATTTTACAGATTAGAATATTTATGAACAGATAAGAAGCTTAAGCCCAAATCCTTAATCATCTAAAATGCTAGCTGTAAGTGTTGTTTTGATTTAAACTGATTAAACTCAGTTAATTCAGCTTGAAATGATAATTTATTTAAAACATTATTTGACTCACAGAAAGAACATTAGAAAGTATGCTGGCGTTCACTATAAGTATCTCAATTTTAATTCTTACAAAAGAAGCAGAATTTTAATTTAAATAAGAGTGATCAAAAATATGTACTCTTGTATAAGAGGAATGAGGTTACTGTCTACTCGTGTACCTGCACTGGGCACTATTTAGCCAGAGTAGACTCATAAGTTTAATTTATCAGTTATTAAAGACTTTTCACTATGTAATACATTTCACATTTACACAGCCAACTATCTTGATCACAACAATTGCACTGACGTTAAGGATCTCATACATTTAGTTGAGCAAATCACATTACACTACCGTTAGGTTTAGGTAAACTCTCTTAATATAATGTTCTTTTTACAAAGTCAAGCATTGGGAAGGTAAAACATGTTTGAATGTAGGTTGACAAGTGTGCAGATGGTACAGCTTTTATTTGCTTATTATGTTTTTTATCTTTGCAACCTCTGGCTAACTTAGAATACAAACTGCACTGGTGCCTCCATTAACTTCAATTGTAACTAACAGAAAGTATGTCAATTTATCACACTGTACGTAGCCTTGAATTGCAGACCTCATTTAGTGGGTAAATCTTACTTATCCAAGGGATCCCACAAATGTGTATTTTTAGCCCAACATAAATAATAGCAAACCAATCAAAATAACAGTCTACCTCAAAAAGCAGTTTGCATCCCTCCTTACCTGCCCCCTCAAAAAGAGAAGACTTACCGACATTCAGCAGCTACAAACCTCAAGTAGTCTTAAGAACCCATTATTTTATTTAAAGAGTAATGTGAGATTCTGGATATTCTCCAGTTTTTAGTTTTGCTTATCCAAAAGAAGCTCAAGAGAATTCCAAATTTTAATTTTTCTCTGACCCAGTACAAGCTAAAATTGCCTCCTGCTCCCTGCCTGCACATACTCTCACAGCACAGCTTTGAAGTGGTGTCTACTTCATGCCAAGACTTTAACTCTGCCTTCTTTGCCTTCTGAGTAAAACACTGAGGTGGGGGGTGAAAGCCCTTAAGATTATGCCATCTTCTGTTTACTCCCTTACAAAAAATCTTTAAGCAGAAACTATACAATTAGTGCCCAGAGAACAGATTTTCTGAGATACAGCATGGGAAATATGTTGCTTAAGGGGAAAAATTCCAGCCCTCATTCCCAGATCAGACCAAATACTTCCAGATCTATTTGTTCTTTTTTTTTTTTTCTTTTTCTTTTTTTTTTTTGTTATTTGTGGTATTTGCTGTTTATGAATATCTCCCAGTTGCTGCCATAATACAGTCACATGAGATCTTGTCAACACACTGCATATTACTGCCCTGTCAAATCTGTAAGAAGAACCTACTTCAAAAAGCTGACTGAAATCCCAGTTATAGCAATAGAAGTTCTTTCCAATACCCCATACTCTGTTTCAGAAGAAACTTTCTTCAGCTGCACGCATACTTACCAAGCTGTGGCCCGTTAAGAGAATAACCAATACATGCAATGACCGTCATTCCATCTCCCATGGTCTCAGACCAGGACATTGGCCACCTGCATCTGAGATACGCACACATGCATCCCATTCTGTAACATAAATACAGCTCTAACTGAGCTGTCTGAGGAAGAGGATTTCCTGCAGGAAATTTATTTTGTGCGGATGTTTTCCCCGTTCTCACGTCAGATAAGCATGTTTCTTCTGCTGTGTCAATTAGAAAGCAACAAGGGGTAACTTGCCAAGGAAATGCATCTTTTCAATCTCCGTTGGCCTCAGGTCTGTTTCCTCAAGGAGCACAAGGGTAACTTTTTTTTTTTCCCTAAACTTTTTTTTCCTGAAACAACCATCTGAGGCAGGAGGAACACAGTCCAATCTGGTTTTCATTTCTGACTCCAGCCTCACAGGAAGCACGTATACAAATGTAAGTGATTCCATATCTTTCTTACGTAGAGCATAAAAACTAAAAACTACATCCCTAAAGCTCTGGGATTTCCCAACAGCAAAATAACACAGTCATGTTAAGATATGCTTCCATTTCAAGCTAACCTGATTTACACCAAATACACATAGCTTGTTCACGGTGTAGCTGGAGCTGCCACCCTGTTTCTAGGACTTCTGAGGACACAATACCACCTTACTGCTGCAAAAACATAATGATTTATCTGTGTCTTTTCTCTGTATGGAATTACTAGGGGGAGGTAGTCTGTGTTTCTGGCCAAGAAAGAGGAGGAACTGCAGGAGGATGCTCAAAGTCAGCACAAGTGACTTGTCCTGGTGTGCTCCTGCCAGCACTACTGGTCCTACTAGTTGGCAATCAGCATGGATTAAAGGTATAACTAGCCTCAAACAGGCTGCTACATAGGACCAGTACAGCCAGACTTGGAAGAAAAAGCTTTGAGATTGTTGACAGGAAGGTGAATGACAACAGCATCCAAGCAAAACTATGAACTAAATGTTCACTATGTTGATATTAGTTAATATTTAGACACTTTTTTCTATCTCAGCATAAAAACTCTGAGAACTGTTGTGCCACTTTCATATAGCTATAGGCTACACCTTAGAGAGTCTCAAAAGAGAAAAATAACAGGGGAACCTTTAATTTACTTTTAAAATTGATAATCTAATTTAATCAAGATTTACTTTCTCTTCATCTCCCTGTCTTAGACAACTGTTATTGCTATTTCTTAGATGAAAGATGAGATCTTCAGATATTATATAAATCCCAGCATTTCACTTTAAGGGAAAAAAAAAAAACAACTGAATCCTGTGATGGTTGGCAAAATGCACGTAATCTGGAATTTACAAATGCAAGCTGATGTACTACAGAAGGATACTAAAGTTTTCAAAATCTGAAATTAATTCCCCATGTCACTTTACTTGTACAATCCCACCCAAATAAATGAAATATTTAAATATAGTGGGATGGATTGATTAAAGCCTTATGAAAAATAGAACATACAGACCCCTTAGGGAGGAAAAAAAACAAAAAACAAAAAAACAACAATCTATTGAATAATGAAAAAAATATCAGAAGTTTCCAAAGTTGCATTAAAAAGCTCAGGTTTTGTTCACCAAGACATGCATTGAATTTTGTATATTTATGTTTCACAAACTATACAGGCACTGAAGTAGTCTAGTTTATACAATTTAGATTACGAGAATGGTTTCGTTTTTTGTTAGCTATGTTTTACAACACTAATTTTACATTACTACGTGTTACTAAATACAATAGCAGCCTTTACTGTATAAAACATGGATACATATTACATGGTTACCTGGCACGATGTTATTAAAACAAATTAAAAGTTTTTGGGGGATAATTTAAAAGTCTAAGTAGAAGATGATACTCAACCTGAGATACATTAGGCACTTAATCAGTTGGGCTAGTTGATTTTTTTGGGAATAAGAACTATTAAATAGAAAGTTCTGTGATTGGAGTTAGAGCAGGAACTTCAATTATTTAACTATTACCTCCCCCTGCATTAACTTTTCCCATGCTCTGTAACATCTATAGATATACTTCATTTGTGCAGATAATTAACTTCTATTTGTCAATACAAATCATATACAACCACATATTCAGCTGAGCAAAAGATATCCCAGTTACATGATGTATGCACTATATTAATCTGTCATCTGAAAACGACATTAATTTTTTAACTTCCAGACCTGAAAGGCAGTGATGCAAAAATACAGCTGAAATTTAAAAAAATCAGCTTTTCTAAATGTTAAAAAGTTCCAGCAGAGGCTCTGTACTTCCTCTCAGATTCAGTGTGCTTTATTGACAGTAATCACAAAGCTAGACCACACGTTCAAGTGGTAACCTCTGCAGAAAAGTAAAAACTACTTCTTGTTATGTTTCACTGTATTTAGCTTTCTGCTGGATCAGGTTTGTGATAGCTGATGACAGAACAGGTGCCAGTACTCAGGAGGCAGTGGAACTAAACATACACAGCTGAGATAATCGAGAAGACATCATTATCACTGGAAAATTAGCTCCGAGGTCATTGAGATAGACACTACTCTTTATTAAGAGTTCTCTGCTGCAATTTCTAGGGGTTCCTGGACTTAAAATGTAAAGCAGTTTACTTCCAAATCTTCTCAATAGGGACATTTTGGGATATTGGTTTTATAGCCTAGAGGTATGGAAGACAGTGAACAGAGAACTCGCAGTGTGGTAATGAATCTGAAAAGCCACGGACTCTGGTTGGGCTGAAGTTGACAAAAGCACAGCGTCAAATGTCAGAATCCCAAAACAGAAGTTTGGGATTTTTCTGGAGAAATCTTGGCCGGAGCTGTGACAGAGACACTCAGAGATGCACAGTGGGTTAAATTTCCTAACAGCATGAGTGACTACAGCCACTTGAGATGCTTCAAGGTTTTGGAGACATCCACACAGCGATGGCAAACATGACACAAAACCTTCTGGGAGCCAGGGCAGCCAGAGCATCTCAGGTGGCACCAAGCACCTGTGTTTAGGCAACTAAATCCCAGCCTTCAGTCATGCTTGTGTTCAGAAGGAACATTACCCAGTCACAGCCTTTTATTTCACACTTGTTCTTCAAGCCTGTCCAGTTGTGGAGTGAAGGGGCTGAGCAGCCCATACAAAGGCAGTGGTTGCAAAGCTGATCTTTTATTTTTTTCTGTGCATGATCACATCTGCTTCTCCTCTCTGAACAGACCAAAGTTCCGTTCCCACAAAGGCAAGGTATGTTTCATATTCCAAACCACTGGCTACTAGTAGAACACAGAGACATTCCCAACATGCCTGATGATACATAGTACACAGCTTCATGTTTCTTCGTTAAAAAAATGAGTGTTACCAACATCAAAAGAATATAATATGTAATGAATACTAAGTTAATAAACCACATACTCCGGTAACAGGTTCAGGACAGAATCTGAATAAGGTTTTTCCTCGTCAAAGGTCAATTTTTGTGTATGTCAAATACTGTGCCTAAATAGTCCCTGACACGTCTCAACACCTCTTCAGCTATTATCCCGCAAAGCCATTACAGCATTTCCTGCTATTTGCCACTAAAGGGCCACATGCATACCTGCTGACGTTTCTCTGAATTTGTCACTGGTCTTCTTCTTCCTCCATTTCCAAGGCTTAAAAATTTTGCCAATGGTAGAAAGTTTGCCCTTTCTCTTGAAGGGAGGAGTTTGGGATCCTGGGGCTGGTCCATCTGAGTTAGCGATTGAAGCTTTATCCAAGCCATCAACTGCACAAATAAACAAGAAAAGAAAAGGTCACTGAAGGATGGAAACCAAAACAGTAGCTAGCAGCTGAACTGTTCCACTGCCGGACTGCAAAAGGCTGTGTGGTGGTTCTCATTTTTCTGTTCCAGAAGGCAGACAATGGGCATTTTATAGCAACCTGCACCGCAAGCCAGTCCTCACCCTCATTAGCCCCACACTTCCCTTCTCTCAGCATCCCCACTACAGCCAGAGCAGCTGCTCACACCGCCTCTGCTATGCCTGCTTCTGTGGTTTCTCCTCTCTACTGAAGAATTCCTTTCAACACATTTACGTGATGTTTTTTCCCTATCTTTGGTAAAGCTGAATAACTAGCTATCATCACACAGAAAACAAAACCCATACAATGTACAAACATAAACTGTTTCTTCTGAGTAAAAATAAATAAATAAATAAATAAATAAATCCCTTTTTAAAAAAGCTCTACTGGTAACTGTTCTGGCTGTGGAACAGAATAGTTCAGTTTGATATTCCTGGTAATCAGTCATTCACAGAGGAGCCTGCCATGAGTCAAGTTCCATACTAATAAAACATATTTAACAATAAGCTTTTGGGTTGTAGCCAAAATTTAAAGCCAATATTCCTCATCGATGGCTGTAACACTGAGTTTTTGTGAACAAAATTAGCAGTTATTCCACAACAGGTGGTTAAATGTAGCATAAAGTTAAAAATGAATTTTCTGGAAATTTCCCTGAGAAGCCCGCAATTATGTATTTCTATATAAGAACTATGGTTTCTTAGAGCCTTCCACTCCTGAACCTCCAAATACTTCAAATGTGCTTAACTTTATTCACGTGAGAAGCTTCGCTGAAGTAAATGCTATTACTTATGTACATAAAATTAATCACAAGCTTAAATGTTTGCAGCATAAGGGTTCTGTAATTGCTTTCATTCATCTAAACATTCCAATTATAACCAATTCGGAACAGAGCTGATGCCACTGTCAACAGAAATAATGATAATCATAGATCATTAAATCAGAAAGTGCTATTCAAAGAAGGAAATATCACTGTTCCCATTTTACAGATGGAAAATATGAGGCACAGAACAGTTAAGTGTTTAATGTCATGTTTGCCGAATGGCTTCCTGAATCCTAGTCCTCTGTCCTAGTTGTTAAAAAGATGCATATTCATACACATATCATCACGGTGCAATCTTACTATTCTGTTTCTCAGAAAAATGGCATTTAATGAATCCTATATTTGTCCCAGACTTTAGATTGGTCTAGAATGCTATAAAAAAAATCCTTACTGTGAGAAAGCTGATGTAATGCAATCAGAGTCCAAGAAACTTTATTCCTTAACACTGAAATGAAGTACTAGGACAAAAAGATCCATTATATAACTTCACTGAAATCTACAGAGTTAAAACCAGAGATAAATTTGTGTGAAAATGATAACATTCAAATCAAAAAATCTGAGTTAGGCTGTAGAATACAACAAATCCTCTGCTGTTAGAGATGGAACAGATAGCTTAAGAAAACTTTGCCAGCAGAAATTATCATTATTCAGATACATGAGGATTTAATTTTTTTTTTTTCCTCCAAGTGTTTTCCTTGGGTACTTTCTGGTCTATAACAAAGAGATAAAATGAAAGGATGGTATTGAAAAGTGTAACACCAAGATTTTGGTAAGGAGAAGGCCAGGTCTATCCCTTGCATGAGCAAACTTCCTTGCTTGCACATGCTAGAAAACATAACCAGGCAGTCCTTTGTGAAGCTTAGGATGAGTCCCTAACAGGTGGGTTGGCTGGCAAGAGATGGAGATCAGAAGGCACCAACACCAGCCAGCAAGCAGGTATGGAGGAAGAGAGAGGCATGGGGCAGCAGCAGGACCTCTGCAGGGTTGCCCTGCCTGTAACTAAGGAATGCACTTCTCTCTAGGTTGGCAGTCAGTGTCTGTTGAGTGAAAGAAGTACAATTACTTGAAAGGTATTTACAAAGGTACAAAGTTCTTGGCAACTCTAGATGGCACAAAGAGGGGTGAGAGCCACAGGCAGTAACTCCGGAGAGCCAGGTTAGATATAAGGAACCAGGAGAATGGCACAGCACTGGAACAGGTTGGTGAATCTCTGTCCTTGGAGATTTTCAGGGCTTGACAAGTTGTGATCTCATCTGCTGTCAGCAGCCATCATGCTTGGAGTGAGAGACTGGACTATGTCACCTTCCAGACAACATTTCTGCAGTGCTAGGGGATGTGGAAAGGCATGGTTACTTGTGAAATCTGTGCTAGGAAATCTTAAGAACCAGAAGAGAGATGCCGAAGAAAAGAAATGAGGATCTGGTGGCTGAAGAGTTCAGTCCTGGGACAAGAGCCAAGAATTATCTCACTGGCAGAGGCAGCCCATGAGTTCATTAGTGAAAGGCTACCCACTCCTTGGTGGCAGCAGGACAAAGCCCATGTTCTTGTCTTCAGTGGCTTAGAAAGGCTGGGTTACTGATGTGAAGAGCCTGCACCCTGGTGATAGACAGCACAGTCTCTATAAACACTGGAACACAGATCTTTTCAAATCCTCCTGGGTCACAGAACTCAGCCTACTGCAAACAACCACTTTCACAAAAGCCTTGTATAATTTTTTTCTCCTGTGCCTGCCACAGGAATGGAGGAGGATTAAGGTTCCAACAGTTCTCCACCGAGAAACATGAATTTGGATCACTTGCTGCTCTGCCCTCTGCTGAAAATATATAACTCTGAAATAGTGATATTCATCCCAGCTGAAGAAATCCATCTGCTTCAAATTAGCCAGTTTATGAAAAAAAGGATCAATTTAGTGGTGAGTGATTCTGTTTAGGAAGACTGCAACTCTTGAAAGCAGGATTCTACATTAACTCCTTGTGACAATAAAAGATGAGTTTATTTATCAAATGAGTTTCATGAGAGCTCACAATTAGGAATTTGCTTATCCCTCCAAGGAGTCCAAGGATTAGGCTGTTACAAAATGGAGATTGAGAAACATAGTGAAATAAAAAAAGTTATTGCTGGAGGTAAGTTCTGTGTTAATGCTCCCTGAACATTCACTGTAAACAGTGTGTCTCTGACTGTTCTTGCTTCCATCAAGTTTTTGCTTCCAAAGGAAACCTCCAAACTGCTCCAACTTGCAGAGCTTTGGTTTCTATTTTAAAGCTGCTCTGAAGAGCATGAACTAGATTTGTTAAGCATAAAACTAAATGGGGAAGCATCTCATGCTCTACATGCTGAGGAACATTCAGTCTGGAGTACCACGATACAGCCAGCTCGAACCAAAACAGCTTCAACTGTTTTACTCCACATACTCATTCCCATCATGCTGCACTGCTTGCTAATGTAGACACAGTCTGAATAAATAGAGACAATGCATTGGTACCAGCAGTGCCCCAGATAATTTGAAAGGTCCAAAGTATCCCGTCCTGCACTGCTTGACACATCTGTGCCTGACCTTACTTACTAGCTAGAGGATAGCATTTAAATCATTATACTTAGGGATCTATCAGTCCAAGCAACAAAAGATACAAGGGAAATAAGTTGTAATGAACATCATCCTCTCAATGTATTAACCATTCCCACTGATGCCATCCCAAGCATTTTATCATGATCCCCAAGAGGAGATCTTGTAAAAGACCAACTGCAATGCTAACCAAGACACTGAAAAGTCAAATCACACTGGCAAAGGCTGTGAACTAACTCAATGAAGGAAACAAAAAGCCCTTCCCTGAGCTTGCAGGCAACCACCAAAGATTAGATCAGTTTACAGATGATCTTGACTTTCCCATAAACCACCAAAGACTGAAATGCTTTAACTTGCTTGACTCTAGGAAGGCTACTTTCAAGAAGTAATTTTGATCTCTGTATCTGTCTGAGGGACACTTGTGCTCTGAACGATCTTCAGAGATGTTGTGCAACTGCAGTAGCAGTATGAATTCCTTAGTTTTTTGGTGGCATGGTACATTTCAGCACTGAGATGTTTGTGTCAGCACTGAAATACGCAAATACCTTATTCAAGTAAGAACTTGCTTTACAAAATGCAACAAAAACTCTCCATCCAATTGTTTCAAGCAAGTCTGATAAAAATGCTCTTGAAATAAATAGCCGTGATTCCACTGGTTCCAGGCATTTTGGTCTAGAATGCAGTGAGGATATTCCTTTCTAAAGCTTTGGCTTAAGATAATTCAAGAACAGAAAAAAGACTTCTATTTATGCAGTATGTTGTTCTGTACTTTACTGATGGCAGTCAAACTAGCAAGTCAATAGAAGAAGCTAAATTCAAGACTGAATACTAGAAGTAACGCAGATTGTACATATATATGTATATATATATAAAAATCTTCCAGGAGAACCATATTTTAATAGGCAAAGGAACAAAATTACTGGCTGGTAGCTTAATGCTAGTAATTTGTGTCAGTGACAACTTAAAAAAAGACAAAACCTGGATAGTTAGATAGCTATCTAGCTACAGTAGGATTATACTCAAAAGGTCTTATTTAGAAGAATCAATTCCTGAACCTGAATAGTTTTAAGATTCTTTCCCATATTAGTACATATTCACTTTTAGTCATAAGGAGAAGGAACTTATTAGGTAGACTGTGCTTTAAGCAAGTATGAAGATATCTTATAAATTTCTGTAAAATTGCTGGAATCAACGCCACTGAAAAAGTTAAATTTGTTTATTCTATTCACAAAGACTCTTGAGATCCTGGAGTAAAAGCAATTAAGGCTACATCTAACAGAAGAAACAACAGAATTTAGGTGTATTTGTCAAGTGCTCCTGGGAGCCTGAAAGACTCTGATCACAAGCTCCCTGACTCTGAAAGTGTAGGTGCTGTAATTCATCACATTAACACTACCTGAAACCTCCACTTCTCTGCATGTGAAATAGAAACCTAGATGAGTCTCACAGCAGAGTAGTTTTGGTGATGAAGCCAGCCTAGGAAGTTTCTTCTCCACATTTCCATCTGCTCATTCTTGACCCTATAAAAATATGCCCTTCCTTC